AGAATCAGCACTTTTGAAACAGGGGCTGAAACAGAGGGGATATGGGATGCTACAATGCATGATCTGTTTGGTATTTCAAGCCAAACACTTCAGAGACATTTTGTGTATATCTGAGACCTATAATATATTGATGAAAAACAGTATAATAGAAGACCTTTAACGTTTTCATTCAATAATTTTGTGACCAGACGGCATACTTCATGACCCCAGCAAAGGCACTGCATTGTATTTATCCTTGGCTTCGAGTGTGAGCAAATTGTTCTGGTAAAGCTTTTTTGAAAATGAAAAGACAGAAGGCATAATCTGATTTACTCACCCATTGAATCTGCAAAATCAAATTGTCTCCACAATTGCATTGGGTCAAAACAAAATCTCATTTTTACTGGTTATTTTTTTTGAAGTGGAGGACATTTTCAACTACTTTACTCAGACACCATTTAAACACTTTTGCATATATTCTGTATAGTTGAAATTTGTATTATAAACAGATTGGAAAACAGCCTTTAATATATAAACAGAGCAACAGTAATATAAAAATGCAGTGGGAAAATAAAAAAAGAGACACGGGGGTGAGTGGGAGAGAGAGGTGAGAGAGAGAGTGAGAGAGGAGTGAGGAGAGAGGGGAGAGAGAGGAGTGAGAGAGAGTGAGAGCAAAACCATGGCATCCACCCAGAGAGCAGTTGTGTAACTAACGCTGAGTTACCATATGCAGGGAGGCACCAGTCTCACACAATCACACACACACACACAACACAACACAAGCAACACACACACACACACACACACACACACACACAACACACACCACAACAACACACACACACACACACACACACACACACACACACACACACAACACACACACACACACCAGTACACAGTGGCCTGGCCACAAGCCTAATGATCCAGCTCCATATACAGTGCAACATTCTAGTCACTCGGGTCACGTGATCTGTCCTACACGGGTACACGGGCTAAATGCTAAGTGGCATTAGAGTGGACAAAAGTCATGACAATTGGAACAGTTATATATGATGGTGTGCTTAATGTAAGCATTTATTTGTCCTGCTGGTGAGATGAGCTATCTTTAACAACACACACTTAGTGGATGTATTCCAATTAGGGCTGCACCTAATGATTAAATTCATTTTTGATTAGCTGCCATTTATCTTCAAGAATTATCAAATGATCATTCGGTCTATACCATGTCAGTAAATAGTCAAAATGGTCCATCACAGTCACGCCAAGGTGTTGTCTT